AGCATAATGGTCAGTGCATTCGCCCGGATTGCGAAGGGTGCGGGTTCAAGTCCCGTCCGCTGCCTGGTCCGCGTGGATTTTTTTTTTCTAGTAAACTTTTCTTTAGATTTAGTTTTAGTGTAGTTTTAGTTTAATATCAAAATGTTAAAATTTATTTTTCTATTTTAATCTGTCACTTGTAATTTTAATCAAAAAATGTTTAAAGAACATTCTTGAAATAAAGTTACGATCGCTCTTAAAAATCACACTATTATTATATAGGTGAAAGTTTGTGAGTGTGTGAGTATGTGAGTGTGTATGTTTGTTACTTCTTCACGTCTAAACGGCTGGAGCGATTTTAATAAAATTTGGTATGGAGTTAGCTGACACCCTAGATTCACACATAGGCTACTTTTATCCCGAAAAAATGTTAGGTTCCAGAGGGATTTTCAAAAAACTAAGTTAACGCAGACGAAGTCGCGGGCGACCTCAAGTAAAATATATATACATACTCGGACATCTGATACTTTTTATAATATTTTTAGTTTTTATCCATAGTTTTCTCAGACGTGTGTATCTGTGCTACGATTGAACGAACGAACTTTATAAATTGATAAATCTTAATACTTTTCTGTATGTTTTTATCAACATCAAATGCACTTTCTGTGGGTACAACTTTGACTGCTGTAAATTTTATCCTTATTTAGAAAATCAAATAAGAGTTCCGAGGTAACAAGTGACTCGATTTATTTGTTGTTCAGTGTAGATGGTAAAATAAATAGATCCTTCCATTTTCTTTGCTTTCAATATTTTTGCATGGATACAAGAAAGTTATGCCACAGTGGGTTTTCCGCTCGAATGGAGGGCCCGTTCAGAGAAGTATCCTACACCATATTAGTGATGTAACGAATGTCATTTTTTGAACATTCGCGAATGCGAATGCGGATGCGAATGTCTGGTACCGAAATTCGCGAATGCGAATGCGAATATTTAGTTTTTTTTTAATTGGCGCCAATTGTCTATGGCATGGTGGCAGTCTCGTTCGAATTGCCGAGTTGATATTAACTCATCCGACTGAAATGCCATTCCGCTCGCACCGGTCTTTCCGTAATCAAAACAAGTGAATTTTGAGGTTAGTGATTGTGAGTGGTAATAGTGATTTATTAACATGAGTAAATCGAATTCTAGTGAAACATGGACTTATTTCACACTTTGCGATGCTGAACGAGCTAAATGCAAACTGTGTAACAATGAATATTCAAGGAAAAGCAGAACTACAACTTCTTCAAATTGTTTTTTTCTAATATTCATATTCGCAAAACATTCGCAGAGATTTTGCGAATGCGAATGTGAATGCGAATATTCAAAAATATGCGAATATTCGCGAATGCGAATGCGAATATTCGTTACATCACTACACCATATGAATGAATGCACAGACAAATTACATTACCTCGTAGTTTTGGGTTCCTACATATTATTATTTTAAGGTTGCCAAGTTTCCCAGGGATAGTTTATTATTCAAAAAAGTGAAGAAAATAAACATAGGCCGCGTTATGGTAAGCGGCTATCATAGGCGCTAGATACTAAAGGAGATTGCTCAAATTGCCCCAAATGCACAAAAAATATTGATATATACGGTAATTCTTGGCGTAATTTATACTTTATTTTACAGTCATTAGATTTTAACCTTTGTATAATATATTCATTTTAAAAAGGACTTTTAATTTTACCGGTTTGTAAAACATACGAATCATTTTTAATGGCTATGGGTGTAGTGAAATTCAGCCAAAGACTGATCGAAGTTGTTTATATAACATAAAATCAAATCTATTTTTTAAAGTTCGATAAAATAAATTACTCTGTGGTATTAATATCCACAACTATATTATCATTTTCACTACATGCAAATGTGCTAAGACAATTATTATAGATGGTAGGCGACATCATAAAGTCTATTGCCATACATTTTTCGCCAAACACCTCCATAAACACATTAAAAGGTGTGTCAAAAAATCTAATATAAACATAACAAAAATAATGAAGTAACTGAAGATATGGCTGTATAACCTAAATCTCTTAGCTTTCTTTGCTTAATGAGAGTTTAAAAATTCTCCCTAATCTGTGGCTCATTCACAATCATCACACAGCTGTCACGGAGTACCTTATTATAACCGGAAATGCGTAGATGATACCTGATTTTAAAAGTTCTCTTGTGCATTAACTTTAAAAACATGCTCTATATATCTGAATCTAATACATAATTTCGGTACTTGGCTTAATTTCCCTACTTTACTATATAACTTATTTGTTTTTATTATTTTAATATCTATGTACATTTTCGCAAACATAACCTTAAAACCGTTCAGTGTATATGATATAAAGAAGTTCTCAGGGGTGTCCGTCAATAATATTCGTTTCTACAGTAATTTAATTATAATGTAATTTCGAATCTAGGAAACAATTTTTCATGATTATTGGTCTTTAGGTAAACATGTATGGTAGCTGAGCAATCTCCTTTCTCGAATCGACCTGTAAGCTTAGATACTCGATGACAGAAATGCAAAAAAGTACCAAAAAATCATTATGCAACGAGGCGGAGTTTAATTCCCCAAAAGAGCTTAGAGTATGATGAACTTTTACCGGATTAATCCGTATTGACCTACACAATACGCAAAAAGGTTTACGACCTCCGAGGTGATAAAGAAAATTGCGGTTCATGATTATCTCCGCCATGTGCGAAAGGAGGGATCATTTAGGCGCAGCGCACACCGGGAGAGGAGCAGCGAAGATATTACTCACGGCGACACCTGGCGCGACCAAGAGCCACGGAGCGGCACGCGCCGACTTTGAGCGCGGCCTAGAGCCATGGAGCGGCACGCGGCGACTTTGAGTGCGGCCATGACCCACGGCGCGTCGCGCAGCGACTTTGAGCGCGGCCAAGGGCCACGGAGCGGCGTGCGTTGACTTTGAGCATGGCCAAGGGCCATGGATCAGTCTGCGGTGCCTTTGAGCGTTTCCTGGAGCCACGGAGCGGAGTCGTGCACCGGCTCTCGTGACCGCTTCGCAGCGCTTGCGCCGCTTGTGTATGGTTTTATGTTTACCATTAAAAAAATATTAAACTTATGATATAAACATATACGGACAAGAGCCACGGAGCTGTGCGCGGCGACGTTGAGCACGACTTAGAGCCACGGAGCGGTGTCGCGAACCAGCTCCGTGGCTCTTGTCCGTATATGTTTATATCAAACATTTAATGTTTTTTAACGGTCACGAGACGCGCCTGCCTGTATATGATCTGGCAAATTCGATCTCTAGCACTTTAGTGGTTACGTTTCGAGAGCGTTTGTGACAGTATCTTCACCGCGCCTCTACCGGTGTGCGCTGCACCTTATTGGGCTACCTTTAGAAACATCTCTCTTCCAGCACCCCGGTGTCTTTTTAAAGAGGCGTAAAGAAGCAACTGGCAGGCTTGTAAAGTTGCTGCACTATCTTCGCATCTAGACTCCCTCATCACTTAACATGATGCTAGTGCCTCGGAACTAATACTACAAAATATTAAAGTCGGTCGCACATTTCACATTTTGCCATGCGGTAAATAGTATGAATTTATTTATGTAAGTACGGAATATGTATTCTGTGTTTCAGTTTATCTTTATATGCTTTGTGTATATGATGCTGTGAAATGTGACAAATAAGCAAAGTGAAATCATTGGTCACATGGATTGTAAATAGGATTTTAGTATTTTTGGCAAACTGTATTGCCCTGGCGACAGAGACGTGCCCCGGCATCCGTGATGCTGAATGATTCCAAAACTTTAAGTGGAAGAAATCTTTAGACCACGCAAATTATTCTAAGGAAAATTCCACTTCACAACAATAATTCTCAGAGAGAGGGACTATATTTGTCCATGTACCGTAAAATTTATTATATTGAAAAATGATTACCCTTTTTAATGCCAACCAGGACTTGACAACACAGGCTGTACAGAATTTGCGGCACTGGAAAATTTAACATATTATTATAACTATCGAACTGTTAATTATATTCTTTCAAATCTTGCTACTTTCGCCGCAATTGGACGACCTCCGTGGCCGAATGGTACGGTACGCCGGCGCATACCACTTTCATGGTGGCGCCTACAAATCCAGGTGGGGGCAGATGTTTGTGTGATGAATACGAGCAGTTGTACTCCAGTCATAGATGTTTAATATGTATTTCTATTTAAATTTACTTATATATGTATCAGTATATATGTATTCTATCCGTTACCCTAGCATCCCATAACACAAGCCTACAGTACACTTTGGGGCTAATTTGTGTGAGCGTTAGTAATGTTTACTTATTTATTTAATCTTGATCGTCAGTTAGTGTTGAACTGCTCCAATTTAGAGATTGACATGTTCCCGCGTGAGATTTCGTAGTGACGAAAAGATTTATATAATAAAGAATATGAACCTTTAGTGCCTTTGGATAGTAACGAGAATGTTGTTTATTTATCAATACAATAAATTTTACTTTGGACGGACATGAAGCGTCACTATTACAGAGAATTATCGTCGTAAAATGAAATTTTCCTGAGAGCCGGGGTCACCGTAAGGAGCTTTATTGAACCTTCCAAGACCATAAACCTATTTCGAAGTGAATCACGTTGCTTCGTTGTTTTATATTTTGCATAAATTGATTAAGCTTATTGAGACTTTGCATAAAAATTATATGGATCTTTGTTTAGATTAGTTTTTTTACCTTGGTTTTAGCATGCCAATGACGTGCTTTCATTATGCAGACTAAAAAATTCTCTGACTCGAAAATCCTTTTAAAAAGCTTATTAAAATATAAAGTGAGTACCACACATAAATACCATGGGCTTATTAAATATGTCCATGATAAATACTGTAAATAAATTAAAGAACAAAGAATTTTATTCATTAATCATAATGACACTTCATTACATTGTTCTGACATTTTTTATTTTAACTGTTTTACCATATTAAATATTTCTTGACTAAATTAACACAAGATGGATGAAAATGCTAATCTGGACAATGAATTTAAAAGGTACTTAGAAATTATGCGTCCATACTTAACGCAAATAGTGGATCAAGATGTAATAAATATTTGCAAAGCTTGGATTCAGAAACTGTCAGATTGCGAAGTGAATGAGAAAATTCTCCGTAATAAGTATGTGTTTGCTTTGTGTTATCAGTTAGCAAAAGGAATGTTACAAGAACCCTTTTTAAAATTTCCTGAAAAAGGCACTTTGCCTCCAATATCTGATGAATTCGATAGTGATATTTCGACAACAGATGCGTACCTTGTGATGAAACCTGAGGACGACACAAAAGTTTTATTCAATAATAATGATTCACAAGTATCAGAAACTGACTACCTGTCACAAGAAACTGATTTTTTATGTGAAAGTAGCGGCAATAAACTCATAAACATATTACCAAATCAGAACAGACAAAACGAATCGTGTAAGCAATTTATATTTTCCTTTAGTCCAGATGCGATGAACATAAATGATAATTATAAAGACTACAGTGAAGAATATAAATTAAGAGCTAATAATCTCGTATTGAAATTGAGAGAAATAAAAACCCAAAATATTATTCTACACGAAGAATTGGAAGCTTTAAAGAAAGAATGTAGAAAATCCCCTGTAGAAGTAGAAGAAAATAAATTTAAAGTTGATTGTTGCACTAGTGCTTGCTGTCAATCTCGAGACAGTAATGCTACCTTGAATTCTTTGAAAAATAAACTACAAGATGTACAAGAATCAAAAAACGTAATGTATCAAACTATTGAAAGCATAAGTGACAAACTAAAACGTTTCGAAGATGTAAAGAGACTTGAGATAAAAGAAATTGAAACTAACCATAAGTTGGAAATAATGAGAATTGAAACAATGATTCGCGAAGAAACTAAAGAAATGTATGAGAGAAAATTAGATGAAATGAAAGTGCATTATGAAAATTTGATTGAAAAAATACAAAATAAGCTTAGTCAAGATAAACAAGATATCATTACTTCAAAAGATGAGATAATTCATGAAAAAGAAGTATGTATAAATACGAAAGACATAGAAATAGCCAGACTAAAAACTCTGATCGAAGATGAAAAGAACCACCTGCATGATGTAATAAATAAATTTTTAGAGAAACCTAGTGAAGATTTAAATATAGAAAACATGCGAATTAAAGCTGAACAACTTGAGAAACGTTTGAATAAAGTAGAAAAATCTAAAACTAAATGTACAAAAGTATTCGAAGCGAAATTAGCGCACTTACAAAGAGAAAAGCATTTGGCGGAATGTTCATTACAGCTGCAACTCGTTAGACAGAGAGCTCATGTAGTTAATGAGGTGGCTGACGAAAGCCAGATGGAATTAAATACTGCTCTAAACAAATTGGAGAGTAAATACAAAGACATAGTAGCAAATATGCAAACAACCGCCATTCAGCGAAGAATTCAGGATCGACTGGCACTCGAGTCCATTTTGCAGGCGGCTTGCGGTATTCAAAACGACTTCACGAATTGTTCACAAGGCCCAAACCACAGTCAATATTCGAGCAAAACTATGCAAAATCAAAACAGGAATGGGAACCAAATAAATCAAAGTTTGGACAGTGAGTTATCGGCTTTGTTGCACAGTAATAAAGTTGATAATTTAATTGGTGCTCATGAGAAATCTTTGACAGAGGGTAGTGTGGTGACCGGATATTATCTCGATGGCGAGAAAATGGGAGAGCTGTTGGAGAGGGTGTACATTCCACAAAGGGACATTGGAGACGGTCCATTGAAGAAATAATGTAACAGCTGTGCAACTATTTGGGCCCTTTTTGTTTGAGGAGGCCTCGTTAAACGTATAACGTTGAAGTTTTTCATTAAAATTGAGAGTTAACGGTAAGTTTGTCTTATTTTTTAACTGTGTTGAAATGCCACATTTATTTGTGTTCAAACAACTTAAACAACAGAGTTTTACTTTACAAATATTTGTTCTTTTATTTTATTTTTTACAAGCGAAACCTAAATATAGCATTACATAGATCGTGGTTAAGTTACTTATCTGTAAGTGCGAATAGTAAACGTTTTGATTTAATTGTTAACGGTCTCAGAAATACAGAAAACTGTTAGCGGTGGACCGAAAAGTTATTACTTCGATAAAAGATAGAGCGATCCTAAAAATTGAGATGCACTAATTTTCTAGAGTTTTCTATAGGATTTTATAAAATATAAATCCATACAAATCTTTTCTAGATAAAAAAGAACACGACTTACAACAATTTTTGCCGTTTACAACTGATACTCTATCAAAAATGTGATTATTGATTTTGATCTAAATTTATGTTATCAAAAACATTTTTATCTTCATAGGTAACAAAGGACTGAAAACGTTTTGCTCATTTTAACGTTTTCCTAACGTAATGAGTATTATATTTGATACTGTTGAGTGCTACGAAACATTCTCTTTGTACGCCAGGCACTAGCGCGCCTCGTTGAACTAACATCAGAACCTCAAAAACTCCAAAAGCCGCAACTAACCAGTTTATTTCGGCAAAGGCTACAATATCTATAAGCTAATATCTACTGCACTAATAACTATTTTAGGGTAAAAAAAACAAACTTATTTCAAGTTCAATGATAAAGTAGCTAATAATATTCGTAGCCTATTCTTTGATTCATCTGAAGAGTATTTTTTACACTTAACTTTTATGATATCAATATTATTAGGAAGTATTGTTTTTCAAAAATAACGCAGGTATACGATCCCCCATTCACAGTATGGTAAAATCTTACAATGAAATCTTTCGTTCAATAGACGTCGCGGAAATTCGTCCAAGTACTTTTAAAAGATGTTAATTGCCAAACTTAGAGCATAAAAATAATAGATAATGTGACCAGTGGTAGGGGTATCGAGCGCAGTAAAAGAGGACGTCAGAGGGTAGACCGATATGTCTGCTAATAACATCTACCCGCAATTACTTCAGTTACTCCGTGATCATGGCGCTTTCAACAGTGCTGAAATATCGGAGACCCATAAAAAACAAGGTACATGGTAACAAACCCAATAATAGCTATAATGTTGGAAATATTTATTTATTTTATTTTAATCAAAAGGCGAAGTCAAAATTCTGGGTTCGTATCCCAGTAGAGAAAATGTTTGTATAATAAACTAGTGGGTGCCAACGACATCGTCTGCGTGGAAATATTGGGGTCAGTTCATCATAATAGCGATGTGAGATATTTCAGCACAATCAGTTCAGTGGTTTGAGCTGTGCGTTAATAGATCAGTCAGTCAGTAACCTTTTATATATACAAATACGAACTTTTGTACCTAAGTCATCACCATCACCACTTCACCAGCCTATTAATGTCTTCGCTGCTGGGACACGGGCCTTCTTTCTTATGGATGGAATAGGGAGATTGGGCCACGACCCACCACACGGGCCCAGTGCGGTATTGGTAGGTGCTAACGACTGCAGATGCAGCCGGGACCAACGGCTTAACGTGCCTAACGTAGCGCGGAGGAGCTAGAGATAGTTAATTATTGGTCACCCATCCAATAACCGACCACTGCGAAAGTTGCTTAATTTCAACGATCGCAGCCGAAAGCGCTAATCAATTGCGCCATCGAGCTCTTAAAAAAATATATACTTATACCTATATATCTATAATTGTATGCTGCTTTTCGTTACTCTAGTATACACAAGCTTTACAGTGCTAACTTTGAAGCTATTTGGCTTGTCTGTTAGAAATATTTATGAAACGAATAAATGAAAAATCAAAGTTTTGTAATGATACATACCGAAACTTTACTGACTATATGGTACAAACTTAGATTAAAACAAAAAGGAGGATACGGCACTCACAGCTCAAAAGTGTACTGCTTAAATTGTGGTGCATGAACACAATTCGCTTTTGTCACGATTTGACATCCAAACACGCTGCATGTGCACTCTATATAACGTATATTGCGTATATTCTGTGTTATAAAGATAAAACAAGGCCTTGAGTTTAAGATCAATTAATAGGCGACGGCAACACTTTTCATTCGTAAAACTATAAAACGTTTTTTTTTTCTCAAAAATCTGAATTTGTCATGAATGTTATTTACTTATTTGCCATCTGTTACAATACCGCTCAGCACTTTGTAGAGAGAGGAAAGAAAACGTCGCTCTTTCTTATCGTTTCGCTCGCGCTGCGTTGAAGCGTACAGGAGCTCTATTTTTGAATCACTCGCTTGACATAGTATCGTCGAATACGACATAGTGTCGCCGCACACGGGCCACACGCCACAGCCACAAACGCGCCACAAGCTAGAAGCGGCTACTAAAGTGGCTGAAGCGCGCAACAGCGGCCGACTAAGGTAAGGGAGAGAGGGGTCGGGAATCGCGTGAGTGCGCGAGTTTTGTATTGGCGCATTAAGTGGCCGGTGCGGGCCACAAAAAGCGAGCAACGAGATTTGTAGCGTGTGGCGGTCACCGGCGTACTCGTGTGGCGAGTCCATATAAAATGTATGAAAACTACAAGAAATATGCCGGTGGCGGCGTTTTGTGGTTGTGGTCGGTGGCCCGTGTGCGGTGACACTTAGTCACTTTCGACTTCCAATTCGCATGATACTGATTTTCCGTATTTTTGAATCGTTTATCTACAGTCTTACCAGTTTGATACAAAATATTTATTTTTAATAATTTTAATTTTGTTAGAAAAGATCACAACGTCGCAACAAATCGTCATCTTATCTGTATTTTAAAGATTGAGAAAAAATCTTGAAAATATCTATATCGTAAACTTGACAATTATTTTACCATTCGCCTCCATCATTCGCCAACGTGCAACGGGTGGTCAAGAGCGCTTGTTGAAGTCGAGCGATTAAAAAATACGGAATTTATTATGTCGCATCAAAATTAGTATAAATCGAGCGATCGACGCCGAATAGGGTAATTTTAATCTCCTTTATTATTCTCTTTCTCCGAAACGAAATTTCGGCAACGTACGAATTTTAAACGAAATTTCGCCAGTGACTCTACTCTATTTCATTTCGAACACGCACATAAAGTTCGGAATCACAAACAATTTTCGTGAACGAATGGAATGAGTCGTGTTTGCGAGTTCTTTTAATCTCTACTTTTAAGATTACGTTTTTTACTTGGAAACAATATAGATAGTTTACGGCAAATCTTTTGATGACATTAAAAGAACCTTCTTTGACAGTGTTAGCCGACTAGTTTGTTGAGTTGATACAATCTATTGTATGTTAACCTACATTTGTCGTTTCATACTTTGAAGTATCGGAATTACTATTAAATAGCGAGTGATTCAAAATAGAGCTCCAGTTCTGTCTCGCTCGCTCAATTGAATGTTTATTTACAAAAGCGGGCGAGTGTGAGAGTCGCTTATGTATTTGAATCGAAGCATATTTTATTTGATGCTGGTATGAGCTTCCCGTATTTTCCCTTTTTGTTTTAATCTCAAAACAAATAACATACCTACATTGCTTCAACGAAACGCAAAACCGTTCGATCAACCGCGAGTGAAACCGTGTCATTCTGAAAACCGCGGTGTTACGACTTGTACGTTAAACCCACGTTAGACACCCACTTGTGTTAAATTTAGTTAACGGAGTGGTCTGTTTTATATATAGCAAGTTAATTTAACTTCGTTTGGGCATAGCTTTATGTTTGTGCTGCCGATCTTATACTTCAGGTTCAAACGTAGTTTTAATTATAACATTTGACAGGTTCTCTTCGGTACTCGTGTTAAATTCGTAACATAATTAAGTATGTGGATTCGTGAAATCGCACGTTTAAAATAAGATATGATTTCCACTTTCCTTCAATTAATCTCTTAAAATATTTGCATTTAAAATGTAACTAGTTTTAAAAAATAATAATAATCGTCCTTTATTTCAGGTGTAGTACCAATATAACATACAGAATAAGGAAAAAATTAAAAGATTAAATAATCACAATAAGTCAAATTAAACAAAATTAAATAAAATTTCTAGCAAACAATGATGTCAAATATCACAAATGTCATATTTACAGCAGTCATACACAGTGCCAAAATTATCAAAATACAACATTTCCTATATAGGAAGCGACTCTTTTTCTTATTACAGCATAGAAATCATGAACCTTTTTCTCCGCAAACATGCGCGACGTACTACACCGCCACATCAGTTAAAGCATCCCTCTAAAAGCGTTATTGTACTGCACTCGTAGCGTGTGGTATGCTCTCTTTGTATAGTTCTTCCACGAATAGCTAGTATAAAGCGACGTAAGCGCCAAATAGGATAATCTTTCCGACGATTTTTTCGGTCCGCACCCTATAATCTCCTATATTATTCTCTTTCTCCGAAACTAAATTTCGGCAACGTACGAATTTTAAAGGAAATTTTGCCAGTGACTCTACTCTATTTCATTTCGAACACGCATATAATCACAAACAATTTTCGTGAACGAATGGAATGACGTTTTTTACTTGGAAACATTATAGGTAGTTTACGGCAAATTTTTGATGACATTGAAAGAACCTTCTTTGACAGTGTTAGCCGACTAATTTGTAGAGTTGATACAATCTATTTGATGTCAACTAAACTTGTCGTTTAATACTTTGCAGTATTGTTTGAATTACAATAAATAATAAAAAATGGATTTTTTGTTATTTTTACATGCTAAAAAATGTTCCTCGAGCTAAGCCTTGATTAAAAATTCTCTTGCATTCATTTTAGGCTTAAATAAAACAAAAATCTCAAAACGAAATAGTAACACTTTTCATTTCGTCAATTTGAGGTTAAAATTTCGA